AAAAATAGGATATTGCGAAGCCACGTCAAGATAATCTTGAAGCATATGCCATAATGCTACCATGAATATTAATTAGGGCTGCTGCGATGGATGGTATATCTTTAAAGATAAACCAGTAATTTTTCAATAAACTCAAATTAGTGTTTAAAAGACATGTTTTCTTTTGGAACGTCAAGTAGTTAGGATTGTTGTTATTGGGCAAAAAGGAAAATAAAATGTAAACGGCAGTGACTGATTCAATCCATTGCAAAATTATAAGAAACTGAACTCATATTATTTGAATCAATTTAGTCCAAATTTGACATGGTCGTTTGGATAATATACCCTTTTTTTATGTGGTTGAAACAAAAAAATATGTGAAAATAATGAAAAGATAATAATACTTGTAAAATTTGGTGTGACGTAAGTAAAGGCATATAAAACTTGGAATTATTTGTACTTTTCTTCGGATATATAATTACATATTTGAAATTTATATATTGATTTCTTGGAAAGCTTATTAGGGCATTGACTAAACTCATGGTTGGAGATAATAGTTATAGTCGTCCCATATGTGACAGTTGCGTACGGTGGTTACTAGTAGTCAGTAGATGTGTACAAAATAGTTGGTTTCGATTCAGTTTTTACCTTTTTACCAATTTAGAAATGTATAATTTTTTTGTTTCATTGGTAAACCGAGTGAGTTGAACCAATTCTATTGAAATAGTGGATCTTAACTTCAAAATCCTTGACGACTAGATATGTGTGCATGTTACTAGAAAATTAGCTCAATTGTAAATAAAATTAACAAATGTTTGTACAATTAAACGTACATAATTTTGGCTTAATGAGGCAAAACAAAACAGATAGGGTTTGGTATAAACAAAGTCGTTGTCTGAAGGACGTCGAGTGTAAAGTTAAAAGACGTGCGTTTGCTTTGCGTCATAGAATACACAATCCTTATTATCCATGTTTCCTTTTTCTTAGGGTTCTAAATGATTACGCAAACTATATATCACACATTTGTACTTATAAAATTGAGTTATTAATTACTTTATATCGTATGTTGGTTTCAAAACTGACCAGAAAAAAAAACAAAAGAGGACAAAGAAGAAGCAATCTAATTCCATATCACTTCTTTGTCCTTTTGCTAACTTATTAAATTTATATATAGAGACTGAATTGTACACATGAAAAATTCAAATATAAAACTTCCTAGTAAGAACAACACACACTCACACACAAAATGCCACAAGCATCCAATTAACGGATGCAGAGTTTAACACTGCAGAATTTTCTTCCAAAATGCCATAGCTGTGTTTATTGTAAACTGCTTATAGATTCTCTGCGAGCTAAATCAAAATTCAGTGATACACGGGACCAGTAAGACTCAGAATCTGTACCTTTATTTTGCGAGAGAGAGAGAGAGTAGCCAAGAGAGAAATTATGAAGCAGAGATCACTTCTTGAGTAGCAAAGCACTGCACTGAGCCATGATCTTTGAAGCTCTTGTGATTGAGTTTGTCATGTAAAAATTCTCTACCACGGGTTTGAAAGGCGTTATTGTTTCTATTGTCTCCTTCGACTCAGGCTTCAAGGAAGGGCCAAAAGCAGCTGGCTCTCGCTCATCTGTGTGGACTAGGTTTGGTGCGACCGTCTTGATTCTTGATCTTACACCTTCGATTGAGTTGTATGGAAGCTTCACACCCGAGACCTCGGATAAAGCTCTTACAATCTTCCAGTCGTCTCGTGCATCACCAACTGTTGGAACAGCAGGAACCGTCTGTTGGGTATATCCTTCAGTGTTTTCATAAGTTCCTTCTTTCTCGGTGAAGGCCGTTGCGGGGAGAATCACGTTTGCACGGTAAACCGCTTTGTCTCCATGGTGTCCTTGGTAGACAACAAACGCGTCTTTTGGGATCTTGTCAACATCTACATCATCTGATCCCATCAAGTAGACGAATTTTGCAGACTCGAGGGCTTTGGGAGACTGTTGAATGAGGCCAAGATCAAGAGCAGCCGCTTGTGCAGCGTACAGAAGGAGAAAGTTGAGACCATTCCAGTCTGGTCGGATAACATCGTTGGCTTGTGCAATGGATTCAACAGCAGAGAGGATTGCATCTTTATCGGTTCTGTTAAAGAGCCCAGCACCAACAATGATTGCAGGGTTTTTGGCGTTCTTGAGAGCTGAGCAGAACGGGTGACTTCCCTCAGCAATTTCCTTGAGGGTATCAGGACCAGTTCCAAGGTGTTTGCAATCGTAGTTGAAATCTGAAGGTGGACCAATGTATGCAACCTTGGCATTCGATGCACGGACTGTCTTGCAGATCCTAGCGTTCACCATTGCAGCTTCAACCCTAGGCTGGTAATTTAAGAAAAAATAAGGTGAATGTTACCACTAAAAGCCAATCATATGTAGCAATAGCATTGACCCAGGTCAGGATTGTTAAATCTCAAACCCAACGTTCATTTTAGACTCATAGTCACTGTTCCTAAACAGAAAATGTCTGTCTAATGCAGAACTAGTAACGCTACAAAGAGATAGGTACTAAGAAACTGACCTGGGTACCAATAAGAAGGAAGAGATCTGCATTCTCAAGTCCAGCGATGCTAGTGTTCATAAGATAACTGTATCTAAGATCAACATCAACGCCCACAGCTGTTCCTTCACACCAGACATTGTCTGAACCCATTCTGTTCACAAAGTCCTTCAATACCATCATGGATTCGGCATCAGATAGTTGACCTGCAATTCCAACAATCTCATTTGGCTTCACCTGATGAATAATATCACCCACAACAGCCAAAGCATCACGCCAGCTCACTGCCTTGAATCGTCCATCCGCATCTCGAATCATAGGGTCGCTCAGCCTTTGTCTTTTCAGGCCGTCATAGCTGAATCGAGTTTTGTCAGAAATCCATTCTTCATTTATATCCTAGCAAAAGGACAATCAAAGGTTCAACGTGGTTCCAGCAAACTACTTTTTTATGAGCTCAAGTAAACCTCATACCTCATTAAGGCGTGGAAGGATACGCATCACCTCGGGTCCTCTACTATCAACACGGATGTTGGACCCAACAGCATCAGTAACATCAATGGTTTCTGTTCCTTTCAACTCCCAGTTTCTGGCTTTGAAGGCAAAGGGCTTCGACGTCAGAGCTCCCACAGGACAGATGTCTATGACATTTCCAGAGAGTTCACTGGTCATAAGTTTCTCGACATAAGTTCCGATTTCTTCTCCACTACCACGACCAAGAATGCCAAGATCCTGAACCCCAGCAACTTCTGTGGCAAATCGTACACACCTGCCAATAAGAAAATAACATAACCTAATTAATCGAAACATCTAAAACAGAACAACCCTAAGCTAGTTGGACGTAAAGATAACTAGTTTTAGCAACCTTGTACATTGGATACACCGAGTCATAACGGTCTTCACAAGAGGACCGAGATTTTTGTCAACGACGGATCTTTTCATCTCGGTGAAACGGCCTCTGTCAGATCCAAAAGCCATAGACTGATCCTGAAGATCACATTCTCCTCCTTGGTCACATATTGGGCAATCCAAAGGATGATTCATCAACAGAAATTCCATCACTCCCTCCCTCGCTTTCTTTGCTATTGGTGTGTCAGTCTTAATCTTCATCCCTGTTGGAAACACTCCGACAAGTGATAAGTCTAGCATTATACCACACAAATAGCAATTACATGATACAAGGAGTATCTTAACCCCATATATATTCTTCCTCTTTCTAATCTACTGTGACCAAATTTACTAAATGCAGAAGAGAATCTATAAACCTTATCACAAGGATACATCCCCATCTTTACTTGTACGTGAACAAAATCAACAGCTCAGGTCAAATGAGCAACAAGATGCCAAAAAACGACAACATCTCGAGGCAACTCCAAGATCAGGTTATCATAATCGTTATCGTCATCATCATCATTATGCAAAGGCCAAAGAGAAATGCCGCATCGGCAATCACTTGTAAAGTTGTAATTTTTGAATCCAGATAACTAAAACATTAAGTCCCAAGTTGTTATAATAATCAATGATCACACCAATCCATCAGAATTTTGAATCCAAATTCCATAAAAACGAAACCTTTATTGAACTAACCGGGAAGTGCAGGCATGGCACACGAAGCCACAGGTTTAGGAGATTTCTCAACCTCAACAAGACACATCCGACAATTTCCAGCAATAGACAACCGTGAATGATAACAAAACCTCGGAATATCAACTCCGGCGACCTCACACGCCTGAAGAACCGTGAAACCCTTTGGGATTTTCACCGCGAACCCATCAACGAACACCTCAATCGCCTCATCAGGATTTGAGAAATGGACACGTGCCCCACCAACAGGTTTCCTAGGAGGAAGAATCGGCGTAGGCTCAGGCTGAGAAACAGCGGCGGATTCCGGAGATTGAAGCTCTGGTTTTGAGACGATGGTGCGGAGAAAGAAACTAGTAGTGTTGTGGGGATGAAGAAGACGAGAAAGTGGGCGAATTGTTCTAGAAGCTAAGCTGCTTAATCCCATTTCGTAGACGATCGATCACTTCTACACTCGTGTGTCTCTCGAATCTCGAGTTTTTTTTTTTTTTTTGTACAACAATGGTTTTGTTTTGTAGGATCGATCTTTCGATTTTTTGATTTTTCTATCTGTGGAGTGTTGTGGAACAGAGGAAGAGAGACGATCGATTTATGGGCCTTTTGGGTTTTATTTGAATATTAAATTGGGCCTATAAAATATTTGAGCCCATATAAAAAGCGGTGTGGAAGAGAGAAACCCTAAAAACCTAAGTAGTCTTGTGCCTTCTATATAAAGCCTAAACCCTAACTCTCTCTTCATCCAAAAAATTATCGACGGCATATAAACTCGAAGAAAGTTTTGTTTTTTTTCTTTCGTACGGTAGCTTTAGTGATTGTGTTATTGGTGGATTAGGTGTTGTTTGTGTCTGTGCTTCTTCGTTAGCTTAGATTTCGTTTATCTTCGTAATTTGTTTATGTTTTGAGGGAAAGTGATGATATGAAATTGTCGCCCCAGTCTTAATCTGCATCCATTACGATGGTTGCAACATGGTGATTGACTATATTTTGTCTGATTCTCTCAAATATTTTTTGTCTATGTTTGTAGTTTTTGTAATGGATATGATGAAATGGCAATAATGTTTTGTGACACCCAGTCTGATCTGCTTCGGCAGAGTGATTGATTTGCCATATTTGCTGATCCTATTTCTTCTTCTGTTTTTATGTGTTTGATTTTGTGAATTGATTCAAAGTTTGAATTTTTCGAAAGGAGGAGTGAGGATATAATTCCATACGTCTGCAAATCTGAAACATAGTGTTGATACAATGACATGCACTACCATCTGACCTCTATTATCTTGTTTTCTGGCTTTAGTTCTTCTGCAATCAATGATGAAATTATGTCAAATTCAATGATTATACAATGATTATTATAATCACTAGATCACCATCTTTCGGCTGAGATTGCAGTTTTTTTTTGATTCATTGATATTATTGATGATTTGCCTATGGTATCTGATGTCCAAAGTTGATAATTGTATTTGGACATTTCGTTTTTCTTAGGCAGAAATTGAAATCAGGCTTTGCGACACTGTTGGCTTATTTAATAAGCTACCTGTTACTTTAATACCTGTTTACATCCTATTTTATCAATCTTTGGTTTTGTTTTTGGTTTTAACCTTATTGATTACTCTGTTTTTCGTATCATCTTGTTTCTATTATGTTGTTCTTTTGCAGGGTTTATTGACTTGGTTCTCATAGTGTAGCAAGTGGCTTCTCTTGGGGATGATCTGCTTACTGTGAAGAACTTATCCTACGCTCCAAGAATCATCTATTGTCTTTAGTTTTTTGTTCTTATAGATGCAAGTATCAAGTTTAAGACTTTGTAATGTTCATCTCTTAATCAATAATGAAATTTGTCAGTTAGCAATGTTCGGTGTCTAACTTTTTATTCATAAAATTTGGCAAAGAGTTTGGTGACCAACTTCGTTTTTGTTACTTCTTACAATTGCAATCATTTGTTCTTTGTTCTTATTCACATCTTCCGGTTCATATGTAATAATTATGCCCTTTTTTCATTGAACTAAATATTAACAGCGTAAATGGTATGTTTTGTATTCCAGTATAATCTACGGTAAGCATATTAACAAATAGCTTTGTTTCTATGTATCAAAGATAATCTAAAATACAAGCACTTGCTGTCTCTGTTCTTGTAGTTGCAAAGAGCATTGTGAAGAACATCTAGCATTAGAGATTGACATTAACAAAGCCTTTTCTGTTTCTCTGTCCATTCTTCTTTCGATCAGTTTGATGAGATACTCCAAGAAAACAGAATCGAATGGCAATGTAATTGGTCCACCGTTTGGGAGGCCAAACTCTTCTTCAGATATCTTCAAGAGCTCTTGGAAAACAGAGTTGCTCAGGTAGCTTATCGGAAAAGCAAAGCGTGTGTTATCCGTCGTGTAAACTACAAAACATCCCTTCTCTACAGCGGTTGAGCTGCTGGTAGCACTTGACTTCTGAAATGAGATTCTTTTCCTGTGGAGAGCTGCTCTCTGTTGCCAGTTCCTGAACATCTTGATTAACTTCTTTGTGTTCATCATTATTCTCTAGGAAAGCAAAAAAAATATTACATGAAAATTGTGTTGTTGAAGTCTTTGAATTAGAGAAAGTTATGATTGATGAAGAATGCTATAGGCTTTGTTGTATTATATAGAAGAAGAGCTTAATAGAATTAGACAGAATTTATGACAATATATTAAGCACCTAACCAGACACAACACATGCTTCTGTTTCTACTCTATGTGATCATAACTCATAGAGGGCCTAATTTGGTAATCAATCATGTCTGCAACTGTGGACTATACAACTTCTTGTGAGAACTGAGAAGACATGATCATGTGTGTATCAAAATTCTATATGGACATTTATATGACAAGAGTTAGGTACTAATACATTGATGAAGAATGCAAGAGGCAGTTGTTACATTATAATATGAGTAGTTGAGAACTAGTCAAGCAGATAAGTCTTGGAGATAAGAGCAGCCAAAAACCAAACTCATGTTTGCTTAAGGGTCCCATGATGTTGGTTACTAGTTCTATCAGCTAAATCAAATATGAGTCACACAAATAATAGATCAAGTAAATTATTCAAGGAACAACGAATCTGGTTAAAATCAGTGATCAAATAGATCGATACAATGAAACACTTGTGCTTTATGTACCAAAGATGAAAAGCATGTAGTTTCATAGATTTTCTCACCAGAAAAAAAAGACATCGTTTCAAACATTCCTACTAAAATCTCATATATAGTTTCTTAAGATAGATTAAGCTCAAATCGTACAAAAGAATTGTTCTTGTATATATAGTCTGTTCCTTTTCACAGATTTATTGTTCCAGAGATGGTTGATGTCTAAGGACATGCGATAAACTTAGTGAAAGAAGTTTGACTTGAGGCTAAAAGAAGTTGAAAAATTGTGTCAGTAGAATGGCACAAAGATTGCTCTTGAGGCCTTAAGATTAAGTTAAATGAGATTGAAGTTGATTTTCATATTGATGAGACAATCTAAAAGAAAGACAAAAATGATAGTTTGTATTTCTAAAATAATCTGTCTGTCTATCTACAAGAATCTTTACAAACATGGAAATTCTTTGATACTAATTCTCTAAAACACAAGCTGAGTGCTACTATGTTCTTGAAGTTGCAAAGAGCATTGTGAAGAACATCTAGCACTATAAATTGCCGTTATAAGAGCGTTTTCTGTATCTCCATCCATTCGTCTTTTGATCAATTTGATGAGATACTCCAAGAAAATCGAATCGAATGGCAACGTTATTGGTCCTTCTGTGGGGATGCCAAACTCTTCTTCAGATATCTTCAAGAGCTCTTGAATAATAGAGTTGCTCAGGTAACTTATTGGAAAAGCAAAGCGGGCTTTATCCACCGTGTAAACCACAAAACAACCCTTCTCTATTGCAGATGAGCTGCTAGTGGTAGTACTTGATCTCTGAAATGAGATTCTTTTCCTGCTTAAAGCTGCTCTCTGTTGCCATTTCTTGGCCATCTTGATTAGCTTCTTTGTGTTCATCATTTTTTTATGGGCAAATATTTTTAGATTGGAAAGCAAAAGAGACTTGTACACTGTGTTGTATAACTCTTTGAATGCAAGTTCTGGTTGATGAAGAATCCAATAGGCTTGCTGGATTATATATAATAGGAGACACTATAGGAGTTTTGATAAATTAGAGAAACCAAACAGACAGAACACATGCGTCTGTCTTTGTTGTATGTGAATGTGATCGTAAGGGGTCCCAAAGTTGGTAAACAGTCCTATCAAATAACCAAATTGTGGATTAAAACTTCTGTTGAAAAGACATGACCATGTGGATATGAGTATGAATCTTATACAAAATCATTTAGATACAAAGACATGTGCAAGTGAATGAAAGATGCAGAACTTGTAGTCCCTTTGATGTTCTCAGAGAAGTTAGAACCCTAAACTTGCAGAAACTTCAATGGTTGTTAATAGCTATGTAAATTAGTGAAAACGTTTCGTCAAGTTAGTCTTTTGTAGAAGAATTGGAACCTTCTTTGATCAAACTGTATGTTGAGATAATTTTCGTTTCTACTAAATTTTAAACTAAGAAAATTAGTTATCCGAGAGACACTATATATATTAAGTGTTGTCTATTCTCTTCTCTTTGTGACAGATTACGTAAGTTCATATCATGAGAACACCTCTTGTTCTTGTGCAATCTTCTGTGCCTTAACAGAGATTCATATGGAGATACGATAAATCATAGTGCATGAAACTTTTAACAGGTACAACACTTTTCATTAAAATGGCTGGAAGATTTCAGAGATTTATATGAAACTGTCAGAAGTTGGATAAAGTTTCCATTTAAATGGAAGTTGATTTTTGAATTTTTATGAGACAACTTAAATTAGAGATAAAATAAGAATAGTTTGTATTTCTGAAACAAGTAATCTGTCTAATCTACTATAAACTTTACAAAACAAGATATTTGCTAAACTCTAAAATACATGCAATTGTTGAGTAGCACTAAATTGTTGTTCTTGTGGTTGAAAACAGCATCTAGCACTTGAGATTGATAATAACAGAGCCTTTTCTGTATCTCCATCCATTCGCCGTTGAATCAGTTTGATGAGATACTCTAAAAAGGCCGAATCAAATGGCAATGTGATTGGTCCTTCCGTCGGGATACCGAACTCTTCTTCAGATATTTTCAAGAGCTCTTGGACAATAGAGTTGCTTAGGTAACTTAAGGGAAACGCAAAACGGATTTTATCCGCCGTGTAAACCACGAAACAACCCTTTTCTACTGCAGTTGGGCTGCTAGTAGTAATACTTGATCTCTGAAATGAGATTCTTTTTCTCTTGAGGGCTGCTCTTTGTTGCCATTTCCTGGCCATCTTCATGAGCTTCTTTGCGTTTATCATCATCATTTTCAGGGTAAATTAAAGCTTGAGATTAGAAAGCAAGGGTGGAAAAGAAATAGAAAAGATTTGTAAGTTCTGTTTGTAGAGCTCTTTGAATGAAAGTTCTGGTTGATGAAGAATACCAATAAGCTTGTTAGATTATATAGAAGGAGAAACTATTAGATTTAGACAGGCTTTGTGACAAGCTCCTGAGCACTCTAACCAGACACAACACATGCTTATGTTTCTAATCTAAGGGTCCCAAGTTGGTAATCAATTATGTCTGCAATCAACTTGTGGACTATATAGCTTATAATGGTTAGAAGACATGATCATGTGGGTATGAATCCTATATGGACATTCATATGACACAGATTTAGGTACTGAGACATTACTGAAGAATTAATACAAGAGGCTGTTGATAACTTGTATAATACAAAGGCCAAAAATGCCAAACTTTGTTTGTTAGCACAAGGGTCCCTACTTGTTTAGTATAGTCCTGGACAACTTAATCAAATGTGAGTCACAAAAATAATAGATCAAGTACTTAATTCAGAGCACATCAAATCTTTTTGTGAAATCAAGGACAAAAAATGTGGTGAGAATTCATGATCATTGATTGAGATAGATACAAGGAAA